TGTTTATTTTAATTCTTACTCTCTGTATCTATTCTTTCTGGCCTTTATTTATTTATTAGCGATGAGCTGTCATTCTTTTTTTTGAAAAAAAAGGAATTTTTCATTTTGTTTCCCAGGCTGGAATGCAATAGCACCATCAGAGCTCACTGCAGCTTTGAACTCCTGGGCTTCAGTGATCCTCCCTTATCAGCCTCCCAAGTAATTGGGGCTATAAGTGTGAGCCACCATGCCTGGCCATGTCCATTATTTGCGTAGGTTCCTTTAACCATCAAGTTAATGCAGAAGAAAAATTATAATTGTATTTTCAAATTTTTCTTGGTAATATGAATTTAAGAGACATCATAGGAAAAACATTCATAACTAACAAGAGTGTTCAGTAGCATTGGTACAATATTTACATACATTCACATTACTGGACATCTACCACATAGAACAAAAGACATTCTATAGAAAAGAGATCTGCACTAGAATGTTTATGGCAGCACAATTCACAATTGCAAAGATGTGGAAACAACCACTGTGCCCATCAATACATGAGTATGAATAAAATATGGTGTATGTATACCATGGAGTTCTACTCCGCCACAAGAAACAATGGTGATATAACACCTCTTGTATTATCCTGGATAGAGCTGGAGCCCATTCTACTAGGTGAAGTATCATAAGAATAAAAAAATAAGCAACGCATGTACTCTACCATCAAATTGGTATTAATTGATCAACACTTACGTGCACATATAGTAGTAACATTCATCTGGCGTTGGGCAGTGGGAGGGGGGAAGAAGAAATGGGTATATTCACACCTAGTGGGTGTGGTGTGCACCATCTAGTGGATGGACATGCTTGCTTGAAGCTCTGACTCAGGTGGGGCAAGGGCAACATATGTAACCTAACATTTGTACACATGTAATATTCTGAAGTAAAAAAAAAGTTTAAAAAATTATTAACATAAATATACATATATCTTCATAGAATTTTCAATGGAAAAAGAAGCATCCTTTTTCACAGAAAAGAAAGAATATATGATACTTGAACTTTACCAAGGACTTTAGGAAAAATAAAGCTTTATTGAAGAGCATAAAACATGCCCAAGTATATAGAGACCTAAATCATGTTTATGCATGTGAAACCTCAGTATATGTAATATATCAACTCTTTTAAGATAAATCCACACATTCATTGCACTTCCATTTAAAAATCTAAAGAGTTTGGGGAGGCACTTGACAAAATGATTTTTTAAATAATATGAAGAAACAAAGAGCTTACTAGCTTTTACATTTTGAACTAAAAAACATGGATAGATAGAATTTATTGCGACTAAATATTAAGAAAATTTCTAATTATATATTGACAGAGCGTGGTATTTGCATAAATAGGCAAATAAATAGAACAGAGTACACAGAAACAGATCTAGTCACCTAAGGAAGTTTACTATATGGCAGTTGTGACATTACACAGGATGTACTGATCATTCCATAAATTGTGTAAAGCATTGACTATTTATATCATCCATATTTACATCCTCACTTTATTCCATATACAAAAATAAATTTTATTGAAATAAAGTTTTAATTATTTGGAGAAACTGCAGAAGATATTGTTATGATCCTGAGGTTTTCTTAACTGGACATACAGACACACATATAGACATACACACAAACACACATGCATCACCACTATGAAGAAAATGATTGATATATCTTATTACCTTAAATTTGTATCATAAAATAAGGTTAAACAGAAAGTCACAAAATCTACAGGATCTTTGTAGCCACATATAACCAAAAAATATATTTAATATTCTTGATTTTAAAAGATCTTCTAAAATTTAATATGAAAAAGCAAATGGTATCCTCAAAACATGGACACAGTTGTAAACAAAGCACAGAAAAACACTCATGAATGTTAAGTACTTGGAGCAGCAGAGATTCATAAAAGTATGATATTTCTGTGTGATTTTAAGTGGAAGTTTCCTAAATAGAGTCAACAGAAAGACAAGTGATATAAATGACTGCTACTAATAGAGTCATAATCATTTTCCACTACTCAGAGGAGTAAAAAGTTGAGAAAAGAAAAGTTGGTGAAGGGCATTTTTCCTCTTCTCCTTGGGCTTCTTGAGTGGATCACTTTGGAAACATAAAAAAAAAAATCTAAAAGTTCTTTGAGGTTATGCTCAGTTTGAAGAAAAACAGAGAAGAGGACATGGGGTTTGAGGAGAGCAAGCCTGTGAAGATTGCGCAGTAGCCTGTCCTGACCATAGGGTAGCAGGCCCAGGTGTTTGTTGCTGGACCATGATGTTAAGAATGGAGAGGTGAAGAAGCATGGCTGATGCATTAATAGAGATGGAAATTAGGGGTACATCATCAGAGTTTCCAGGAAGGATAGCCATGCCATCGCTGCAAATATCTATATTTTGTAATTGTTCAGATGCCCTACTTCAAGACATAAGACAGTCTGCTTGAAAAAGAATGTCACAAACTCTTGATTGGGGATTTCTCCCAAATGTGTTTTAAGTTTCTAGGCAAGGGACTTTGCACAACTGGATGCGTTGTACCTTATTAAAAAATGAAACATTATGTGAGTATTGTTTTTCTTTTCTCTTTGCTCTCCTTTGACATCCTTTTTTTCTGGGATACATTGAAGATCTGCTCTGTGACTGATAACACTAATGTGTGTCCCAGTCAACATATCTAAAGGGGGTTTTGAGGAATGTAATCAGGTACTGTGTTGTGTTTGTGGGGGAGGAAGTGGGCATTGGTGAACATGACAGAAAAATATCTTTGGAAAATATGATAGACAAGAGTTCCTTCTTTGAGATTCATAATGAATAGGATAATTTTGACAGCTCCAAAACACTCGTTAAGAGACATGTATTTCAGGATGACTCTGTAGCTAACTGATTATTTCCATTGAAGAATTTAAGGAATATTAGCATTCTGCTGGACATTTGGGGAAATATTCATCTAGATTATAATTTGTGTCCTGGAAACACTACTAGGGATCAAGAAGTATTAATTATATTTTTAAAAACCTGTGTGTAGATCAAATCTTGCGATATTGTCATTTTTTCTGGGATTCAATTTAGGATATAGATGGATGAACAAAAGATTGGTGTTATGATAACTCACTGGATCATTTGAAGCATGTAGAATATGGGGCTGGAGTAGCCAGCCCACTTAGCATCAGTTTCAGAGGAGGAAGCCTGACTACGCTTTCTGAAGAAGAGGTATGTGAGCCAATCAGGCACATGAGTGAGTGCAGAGCTGGCTTGGATAAGTTGAGTAGAGTGGAAGTAGTCTGTACATATGAGTGTGTTGTTATTTTCTCTGTGAGAATGATGAGTTGAATTGATAGCAAGATGCTCTACTGGGTTCAATCTTATAAGGTGATGGCATATCTCTTCTTTTTTATTTTAATAGCATTGCGTGTAGTTATTAGGTATGCAAACAATAACATAAAGAGTTTGTGCTGAACAACATAAATCAAATTTGAGACAGAAAATGGAACAGAAGGTCATTTCTTGACCTAGTATAGAGTATGACCATGCACTAAGTCTAGTACAAAACATATCCACATTCATTTAACAAGTGTTAGGAGTCAACATCAAAGTGATATTCATGAAGTTATTGAAGATTTGCCATGTGTGTCTCATTGTCTCAGATGAGATACACAGGAGAATGAGGAAAATGTGATAATCATTTTAAATGAAGTTATACTTGCTTTTTATGTGAACATGATGATATTTCCCCCTCCCAGCAATAGCCTCAATCCTAGCTAATCAGGTTATCAGGAAAAAGAACTCAGAGAAACATGTTATAAGTGATAGCTCTTTCATCCCCCCAACCCACATCTCACAGAGGGTATCTGGTGAAGGTCAAGGCCACAGGTGTTGAGTTATACATCATGGGAGTGTGACTTGTGTAGTCACCTAGGATCCAGGCCTAGAAGAGCCCACACTGGATTTAATGCTCTGCTGTTAGTATCTTGAAATCCTTACTTATTCTTGAACAAGGGTCCCTACATGTTCATTTTGCATTAGACCCTGAAAATTATGTAGTCATTTCTGACCATAGTGTAACAAATACACATTTCTGGTGTGCCTAGGGTTTTAGAGGCTTTGGGTTTTTCTTTGAGCTTTCTTTTGGATATTCTTTATTTGGAGATCATGAACTTGAGGCTATAAGAGAGGGCAGGGACCACTCCTTCTTGATAAACAAATCTGGTGGGAAGAGAAGAAAAACTCAGGAAGAGAGGTAGGACAAACTAGGCTTATAATTTATTGGGAAATGAGAACATACATATTTTGGAACTGATAGGGTAAGACTATCTGAATTCTTCAGCCAAGTCCCTGAAAACACATAAAAGACTATTAAATTAGCCTGAACTTTTACTATTACTCAGTCTTTAAGACCAAACTGCAATGCAGATCTCCAGCAATCTAGAGCAGTGCAAGTGGAAAGCTCCTGCCAAACTCAGACTCAACCTCAAAATGGTCCATTCTGAAAGACCTACACACTTCTCAGCATCAACAGAAAACTTGCCATAATTTTTTTCATAACTCACTCAGGAATGTGGTCTGATCAGTATTTTGTATTCTGACCAATAAGATTAACAATCCTTCTTGGAGTTAATTAGGTATCTTGAGGGAAGAAAGAATGTTCTTGAATCTTTTCCCTGGAGGTCAGAAATATCCTTTTCAAATATATATAATTTTTAAAAGCTCCAGTTGTTACCAATAATAAAAATTTTATAGGTGATTGCATTTCTTTTCTCTTCCTAGCCTAGTAGCTGTAGTCCAGAAGTTGAAGCAAGTTTCCCCAAGGGCTAAAACTGTTAAGATCACCAGACAAGAATGTTCAATGTGAAATGCAGCAAGCTCAAACAATTTACAGCTTTCATTCTCCCTTTCCATAAATGGCACTTCATTGCTCCTCAATAGGCTGGGGGGAAATGGGTTTATTGCATTCATTTTAAGAAATATTCCTTCACCTCTTTTCTAGGCCTCCCTACAATTTCAGTTATATTTCATCTTCTCAGAAGTTTGCTAAATGTAGCTTCAAGCAGCTCACTCTGGTAGGTGTGCTTGAGCCATTATCATCCATTTTTCAATAAAGCTGTGGGTGAAAGTGTCATTGATTCTTTTTCACCAGGAGAGAATATTAGCTTTTTATCCTCATCATATTATCTCTCTGCTTGACTGATAAAACTGTCATGCTAAAGGAAAGGTCAGGAATTATTGAGTGGGTGTTCATTTAATTCATCTCTCACCCCCTTCTTCCAACAAATGTATTGGGAATGTAACAGAAAATTTGTGTTTATGAAATGAGAATAGAAGAGAGATAAATAGATGAAGTCCTCATGGATTAATGATTTCATTTTGCTGCCTAGAAATAAGTGTGAGCTTTAAAGGGTCTTCATTTATAGCTTACAGTTCTCTCTTATTTAATTTTCTTATTTTGATAGAAAGAGCTCTCAAATGACATTTACCTGAGCAGTAAAGGTTTCTTTCATGGGTTAAAAATTCCTGGCCATGGGAGGGGGAGGGAGAACAGGAGACAACAGATGCCTCGCATGGCAGGAAAAAGGTGATACCACTCTCATTATTCAGTGTACTCCATGAAGTCATAATTAGTGTGAGTTACTTCTAATTATATTTTATTTTCTAGGTAACGTTGATTAATGCTGTGATGAGCAACTAAGGATGAGGAGGATCAAAACAGAAAAGATTTGCTAAAGCACCAGTGGGTAATTCAGAGGAAACCAAACAGTAAACACGGGTAATAAAATTAATGGGCCAGCTCCAGGTGCCTCTTCACTTCTCATTCCACTTTTTGTGATTTTTATCTTGCTCTATATTTTTCAGATGATGAGGCTGATCGTTTAGGACTTTTTCCACGTGCTGCTCCTACTCCCTAACTCTAGAATAGCAATCTCACTTTGCACCTGGGTGAGAGCCTGCTTTCAGACAGCAAGGTCTAGATTGGCTCCCAAGTGGTCCACTTAATAGTTACATGACATTAGGCAAAATAATTCATTTCTCTGCATCCCATTGTTCTCACGGAAAAGAGGAGTGGAGGGGGTAAAAGGTGATTATTCTGTGAAGGTTCACTTTGTCTCTGAAGTCAGAAACTTAGAAGCCACCCTTGACACTGTTTTCCATCCCTCACATACAATTGGCCAGGAAGACTCTTCTAATTCTATCCACAAAATATCTTCTGAGCCTGTTATCTGCTCGTTTTTTAATACCATCACTGTAGACCAGAACTTTACCACATCTGACTTGGACGATTAAAATAGCCTTCTAGTTGATTTCCCTTCCTCCTGTCTGGTAACCTTTTCCAATTTATTTCTCACGTATTCAAGATTATATTATTATATTTCCAGTTTCATATCTGATTCAATTCCTAATCCCTCTCCCCCCCCCACCATTGTAACTGCAAAACTTATAGTAAAATCTAGGTGGTTTTTCATGGTATGCACCTTTTTCGATAACCTGGCTATTGCCTGAAACTCTAACTTTTTCTCATATCTTTCCATTTAATTAACCTTGTTGGGTGAACTATTTAATTCCTTTGTGCAAGCTTGTCCCTAGGCCTATAGAGTCACTCCACAAAGAGTTTCTTTATTCTTCCAGGGGCTTGGTTCTGTTCTGTTTATCTCTTGAAACACATTTTAAATATCTTTTCTTCTTAACCCATCCTCCTTTGCTTGAATAATCTTTATAATTTTAACATACTTCTATTATTATATTTATTGCATTGTATTGAATGCGTTTTATATGTGCTCTTTTCTGGAGTATATCCTTTAAATGGAAGATACTGTCCTTTGTATTCTGTGTCTAGGATGGTATCAGGTTTAGGACATGAATGAATGAAGTCATGAACATTTGACAAGAACAATTATGTAAACTTTCAGGATCACAGTCTACATTAGGTGCCTAGTAATGTGAGTCTCACTTTTTTGTTTCCTTTTCTCCTTTCTTATTGTCAGTGTTGTAATAAAAAATGTTGTGGAAAAGCCAGGAAAACACCCTTGAGAAATTCTTGTTTTAGGGAAACTAAGTAAAAGATAATTTTGCCTAGGTAAAAAACCTAGGCAAATAACAGCTGCTAGGTTTATGGAAGCCGCCAAACTTGAAGTGAGTGATACTGAGTTAATTCCTTTGCATTAACTTTCCATTGTTATGAATCTTGGTAGGAAAATATCCATCTCCCATTTTCTATCCCTGCATTTTCCCAAGCTCTTTGGAAGTTCACTGGAAGTACCTTTTTTCAAGTTACTTTCTCTTCTTTGGGATAGTTTTCTCCCTCTCTTCAGCCAGTTGTCCCCAATTTGAACTATAAATTAAAGCTCCCTTTCTCTGGGAAGCAAGCCAAACACTCCAAGGCTGGGTTAATTACCTAGTCTCTGTGCTCATTTCCTCTGTGCTTTCTACTTTCCACAATGTCCTGCAATCATCTGTTTACACTTTATTCTTCCCCATTTGACTGTGAGCTTCCTGAAAGCAGGGTTGGTGATTTATTGATTCCTATGTTCCAATGCCCTGAACACTAAATATTTTAATGAATTCATGAGTGTACAAATAAATAGATCACTGAAGGAGGACTTTGCCTCTTATTGTTTTATATATGCTGTTTTCTAGAGTATATGCCCCTAGGTGGCAGAGACCATTCTATATAACTTTTGTATTATGTGTCTAGAGCAGTGCTTTGCCTGTTGTTCAGGACTCATTGGAGGCAAGAGCTCTAAATTCCAGGAATATTCAGCCCCACCTTTTCCCATTAATGATAAGTGAAAGATATAAAAGGATCAATCAGGAAGAACTTAGAGATAGAAGCCCTCAATGACAATCTTGACAACCACCTGCAAATATTTGTGTTGTCCTTCTCTTTTCAGGCTCTAGTTAAAACATGAAAACATTATGGGGAAGTTAAACAGCACTTGCCTGGCACTTAACTTTTCCCTCTTTAAAATCTGCAAGTTCTAATTATCTTTTGCCCTCCTGTGGGTCAGAGTTCACCATTTTGCTGGGAACAGTGTGTCCCCTGATCTCCAGACACCCCCATTCCTACCTTTCTGCTTGCGTTTTTAGCATGCCATAACACTTAGGAAAGCTTCTCCTGATTAAAAGGTTTAAAAGGAGTCAAGATGGCAGGCTAAAAATAGCTGAAATGCCCCTGCTGTCCCAGTTATTAAACATGGTCTGGCAGTTAAAACCTCTAGGCAGTGCCTCAGGCAGACTAAGTCCAGTACCTCATCATTATCCTCCCAGAAATCTGCAGCCATTAGCTAGAATGGAAAGGTTTTGACCTGTCACTTAAAGAAGAAAAGTCAACCAAGCCAAGTTCTTCATTACAGGGAAATTTTTTAGTGTTATAAGAAATCATGGCCTTTTTAATTTGTAAAGGGATAATAGGGGAGGGGAGCATCTTAACGCTTCCCAGGCTATCTGCCCTGCACTTGTGCCACTGACAGTCTGATTTAGGTGTTCCTCCTGTGCCTTTGAAAACACCTCCGCCACCTCTGTGTGACAGGTCTCATGACCATGGGAGGGACTACAGGGTGGTGGCCAGGAAGGCAGCCTCTGGTGTCAGCTTGCCCGAGAAAGGATGTCAGGGCTGTTACTGACTAGCTGTGCAATCTTGAACAAGTTACTTTACCATTCTGTGCTTCAGCTTACTTATTAGTAAAGTGGAGGTAAATATAGTTACCTCATGGGGTTGTGCAAAAACTAAATGAGATAAATCATGTACAGATACTTTAAGAGTACCTAGGACACAGTGAATACTCAATATATGTTAATGGCTATCATTACTAAAATGTTATTTTCATAATTATCATCACTTTGCCTTTTATTTGCACGCCTGTTTTTCTTACTGGATTGTGAATGTCTTTGGAAGAGGGACTCCATTTTCCTGCTCTGAATCTCTGGGAGATAATGTCAGGCTCTGTTCTTAGCAGAAGCACAATGAATGAATGTTTGAATACATCAAAGGACAGAATTCATCCCTTTCATTTTAGAGAGAAGAAAACAAAGGCCACATATCAGAGAAGGATTGATGTCCAGAATTATTATTATGCATTGATAGATATTGATATATTTATAAATCTTTTCTGGAGATTTGTAGTTAGATATATAGAGAGATTTATAGACATATCTATACAGACATATGACAACATTGAAAACCAAACATCAGAGTCATCAATTGACTAGGCCTAGATAATAAATAAAGAGTGCTGAGTCAACACACGTTTCAATATCTGACTCTTAAAGAAGGGTTCTTTTCCCCAATCATATAAGTTATTAACTATTGAATATGCATTATGTGACATATATTATATTATGTTCAATGATTTATGTTAATAACCTTACTTATTTCTTATGAAAAAAAAATCTCCATTTTTTTAGATGAAAAAACCTAAAGCTGACAGAGATTAGGTGACATCCAAGGTCATGTAACTAGAAAGAGGCAGAGTTGACCATGATGACTCATTAGCAGAATGCTCCAGATCATTCACTGTGACATCCCACAAACCCTCTCTGCAACTTTGCTTAGAGACTCTGCACTCCTCTGAACCAGAAGAAACGATGACAGCAATAATGATCATGACCAAATCCAACTTTACAAATTGAATTTTAGGCAAAGATGCAAAGGCAATTACAGTGGAGAAATGATATCTTTTTTCAACAAATGTTGGCATCTCAATTGGATATCAATATGCAAAATATAAAAAGAACTCTGATCCATGCCACATATCACATTCAAAAATTAACTCAAAATTGATATTATTGCTAAATGTCAAGCCTAAAATACAAAACTTCCAAAAGAAGATAGAAAATTTGGTGACTCTGGGTCAGGCAAGGATTTCTTAGAGACAATACTAAAATAACTATCTATAAAGTAAAATCTTTACCAGTTGAACATTATCAACATTAAAAACTTCTACTGTTTGCAAAACAGTTAAAGAATTTAAATGGCAAAAATATTAAAAATTAAAAGCTAAAAAATGTGAAGAAATATTTTATATTTTATAAAGGACTTGTTTCTAGATGATAAAATGAACTCTTAAAACTCAATAATAATAATAAAAAGACCCAATGAGCAATGGATTTGAACAGACATTTCCCCAAAGAAAATATTCATATAGTAGATTACATAAACAGATGTTCAACATATTTAGTCATGAGGCACATGCAAGTTAAAACCACAATGCCATTGCACTACATACCTATTGGGAAAGCTAAAATTAAAAAGACTGACCACAGCAAATTTTGGTGAGGATATGGAAAAACTAGGACTCTCATACTGTGCTGGTGGGCTTGTAAAATGGTCCAAACACCTTGGAAAATGCTTTCATATTTTTCTAAAAAGTTAAACATACATGTACCATATGAGCTAGCAATCTTATTCCGAGGATTTTACTCAAAAGAAATGAAAGCATACATCTATAAAAAGGCTTGTGTAGGAATGTTCATAGCAGCTTTATGTGTAATAGTCAAAACCCAATGTCCACCAAAGTTGTATGGCTAAACAGATGGGGGTGTATCCATACAATGGAATACTACTCAGCAATAAAAAGTAAAACACTAAAAAGAACATGGATGAAGCTCAAAATAATTATGATGAGTGAAAAAAGCAACATCAAAAAAGAGTATGTATTGTGCGACTCTGATTATATTAAACTTTAGAAAATGAGAACAATCCTTTAGTGTCATAAAGTAAATAAATGGCTTGGTGGAGGATAGGGAAGGGAGGGGATTGAGGCAGGAG